GGCGGATCGCGCCGCGGAGGGGCGCCCGGCGCGGAGCGCCGGGCCGCCACCCTGGCCGGGGCGCCGGCCACCCCCCGGTATGATGATCCGGGGTTCGCGGACCGTTCGGGGGTGCTTACTTCCGTGTGGCCCACGTGTTGGGGCTTTGGGAAGGCCATGTCGGGCCAGCGGCACATCGACCCCTGGACAATGACTCACTACCTCGGACCCCTTCCCTCCCGAGCGAAGTGCCGGAATCGCTCCCCTTTCCTCCCTGCCTCCCGGACCTGCGGGTGCCCGGATAGGCTCCTTTCGTCGGCCCTCGCAACGCACTCCAGCTTCAGTGTGGCCGGCGCTGGGGCCACAGTCGCGGCGCCAGGCTTTCCTCCCGCAGAGACAGGAGTACGGGACGGGTTCGGCCGATGATCCCATCTCAAACACAGTCCAGGCGTCCCCAGGCTGTCTTTGAGTTGTGATCATCGGCAATACCTGGCATAGGACAGATAGGACAGACGACAGCGCACTCTCGCCACCCTGACCTCAGGGGGGCCTGAACAAGGTGTACCCAACCCGCTCGCGCCCGCAGCCCCGGCTATCCAGTGGTGTCATCGGATTGGAATCGTGTCCCGCTCAACAAGGGGAACGCACCTGACGATTGCTTGGACAGTTGCCCAGGCTCCTCTTTGCCGTGGATGGCAAGGTGTCCTTGACAGCCGCCTCGATCGCCAGCCACTCGCCGGCTGGCCCCCTCCGCCCAACGGTCGGGCACACAACACGGGAATACGGAAGAGAGGGGAATGGGATGCCAAGGCGCACAGCCAAAGGAACTTGTGATCCGCGCCTGATGGTCTTGGTGTTCGAGGCGGGGCGTGTGTCCTGGACGGATGATGGTACGCAATGTACACCAACTTATGGGTGAAACAACGGTGGATTGGTGTCAGCCTGCGGACGGGGCTGCATGGATGGCGCCAGATCAGCCGGATGGGATGCCTCGGACCGTTTGATGATGGCCCCCCGCCCGACGGGCTGTTTCCCCAATTCACTAGTAACCACTAGGCACAGTGGCTTTGAAGTCTCTGCGATTGGGTGCGCTCCTGTCCGACCCGTGCCCTGGCCAGCAAACCAATAAACTACGCTCGAAGAAGGTATGTGGATATTCGCGATGGGATGCTCCAGCTCGCCACGTTTGATTGACACAGCCGGATTTCGAAAACAGAAATGTTCTTGCCGTGCTGGCCTCGTTTGAAAACACGCTGTCTTGTGTCAGGCTACCGGGCCGTCTTCCCCATTTGTAGGTGTCCCACCAGCTATCAGCCCGGGTACGCCCCTTGGGAACGCTGCTGGAGTGTGCGCAAACCGTTCATGGCATCGCCCGGCCAACCATCTTGCCCATACTTTTTGCAGATACGACCTCTCAGAGATGATGCATTCGCCAGCGCATGTGGGCCAGCCAGGCTGCAATCACTGAGAAAATTACAAGCCCGTCGGGCAGCTTAATTCCTGCAGCAGCCGCGAACAGCATGGCAGTATTCGATATGAAACTGACACCAAACAAACAGGTGAAGGCGCGGCGCCGTGCATCCCTGGGCATTTCAGCCCACTGTATTCTTGGCTTGACGCAAACGCTCGGACCTGCAGCATGTGCACAACATAAGGGCAGCCCAGCAAACCTTGCGAATTGGACGGGATGCTGAAACTCCGGTTGTTCACGAAATGCCGAACGACCACACAGCCTGCGTGGCTCAGAGCATTGCTGCATGAAAATGCTGGCTTCTCAAAACCAATCCAAATATTAACAGCGAAGGAGCGAGTAATTTTGTTCGTTTAGGCAACACCTTAATACCGATACAAATACAGTGCGCCTTCCACACCCTGGGCTGAGCCCTAAAAAAGTGGATTTCTTTCCGTTTGGGGGTTCCAGATCTTTGTGAATGCCTGCAACGCATGCGGGCCTTGTGCCGCTGCCAAAACCTTGTCATAGCCAATTTTTCTTCAATTCCAATGTATCACATGCTGATCTAAGCAAGGAGCTCCCCGCCGTCGTTTGGTTGCACCAGTGGTAAACGCACTCTAAGAGTGAGCACTGTACTGACTGCGCTTGTCTTCCGCATTGTTGTGCTTCTAGTTGTGGAATCTGGATTGTGGACAAAGGGGGAGCGTTAGGAGTTGGTTTGGGGGCCAGTCGGACAAGCCGAACGAACAATCCCCCTCCAGCATGTTTTTCAACCCAATAGGGGTGGAACCCTTCAAGATATTCCCACCATATATGGTATTGCCAGATTTTCGGGAAATCGATATTTTCTGAGCAGAGTCACAAAATATCCAAAATAAATTCAGTACATCACAAAAACGGCATAAACTGAAATAATTTTGAGAGCCACAGGCTCGGAAGCTGTTGGGCCCCACTACTTGTGCAGGCGGACCCTATTCACTGTCGGCCGCAGCGTTCAGCAGGCTCCGTGTTTCGATGGGTAGCGGCCCTGAAGGCAAGGCGGGGAATCAAGGCGATTTTGCTCACATTTCCGCAGGGCCCCCCCCCCTCGCACACAGTCAACCTACAGTGGGCGGACAGTCGCCCCAGACTGCCCTTCGCTATCAAAAGGTCAGGGCGTCACACTGGGACGCCCCCGCGGTGTGGCACCCCCGCCCCACCGCGCCCCTCCGCCTTCACGCCGCCCGAGGGCCGGCTCCGGCGCCGGGACGCAGGCGGAAACGGCGGAGTGTGGTGCGCCGCGCCGGTGCTGCGCGCTGTCGAGGTTGAGCGAGGTGAGGATGGGACGGCGTGGTACAGACACAGACTGCTGTGCTGCGCGGCCCTTGGGTCCCTGGATCCCGAGAGGGAATGTGTCTGTTATCCAGGCGGGCGCTCCATGGCGGCCCTCCAGCGCGTGTTGCGCGGTGGTTGCCTCGCCTGTGAACTTCCTGCGTGCAAGCCTGTGTGATGCTGTTTATAGCCCTTTGCGGCCCTTTCGTGGGCGCTTCGCCCGCCCGAAGAGCGGTCCGATGGCGTGGATGCGCAACCACCGTGGCCAGCGCGCCCGTGGCTGGACTGATGCTCCTCGTGCCTTCCTTAGTATCCTTGTATCGCGGACTTGCGTTTTGGTCTTCCCGTGTAACGCTTGTGCACCGCACCACGGCCTCTGTTCTCTCCGGCCAGACGGGTTCCCTGCACAAGCGCAGCCTGTCCCCGAAACCTCGTGCACCGTCGCCGCAGCCTGTCCTGTGCCACCAGTTGGCTTTTGTGGGCTTTCTTTGGGCTCGCTGCTGCTGCGTGGAAACCTCAGTCGTGTCGTGGCTAATAGGACGTTGATCAGCGAGTTGGTTTCGAGATTGGGATATGGTACCGTGGGAGCGATTCGACCCGCCCATCTGCATGTGCACCATCACATTGCTGAGGGAAATGGAAATAAGATAGTCTCCCCCCCAGCCGTGAGGAAGAGATGCTGCTGGCCGAAAGTGAAGCCAATCGTGCTGATCGGGCCTGAACGCAAATCAGGGACTTTACCCTGCCGCGGTCGTGGCGTACTGTGCTTCTGGTGTTTGCTGCCAGTTCCGACCTTTCACACGTCGATGTCGCGAGGCGCCGGCCCTGTCCAGGATGGCGGTCGCTCACTGGACGAGCGTTCGCACGGCATGAAGCAGCTGCCATGTCAAAGCAGGGGGGCTCCTTTCCCTGTAGCGTGCTGCTACTGAAACCTTTGGAACCGAAATAAAGCATAAGATGTGAAGCCTTTGTGCGTACGGATATTTTGACCAGGGCTCAACGTCAAGGGTCATAAGGCTTGTTCAAGATACAGGGGTATGGGATGTCCAGAGTTGTTGTTGCTGTTGATCAATTTGCTAGCAGCTGGAATGCTGACAGGGTGTCATGGATCCCTACCGTTCAAGCTCTTCGACTGCAAGTACATCCAATGTGTGGCCAACTTGGACCTGCATGCAAACATGGAACCAGAGCCCAGATGTTGCTTGGCCCAGAAACCCTGGCCGCCCTCCCCCTCCCCCCAAACGGGCTGCCTCACAAGGGGTTGCACATGACTGCAACCTCAATGAAATTCGAGATATAGTGTGTCGTTGCTTCTTTATGTCCCTGCTTTGCACTATCTCGACACAAGTGTCCAGCCACCAAGCGAAACCAGTACAATCACTGCATTCCAAGCTAAAGCTGGCATGCATAGTGCCTGAACGGTGTTGAGGTAGTGCTGTTCTTGGTGTTATGGGTAGCATTGGCAGGAAACAAAGGAGTGAAGACAGAAAGTGCAGAAGGTCCCTTGTTTGAGAGTTGCAGGATTCTTCTGCTGAGGCCTGCCTCTGGCTGCCTAGTGTTTGGCATTCTGAACCACATGTTTGGTGGGTTGTACACAACTGCGTACTTCTTATGCAGTCAAGCCCTGCAATCACAGCCATTGTGGTCGATGTGTTGGCGTCTTTGCTTACTGAACAGCCTTTGCTTGCAGACCAGCAAGTAAGCTCCACACCTGTGCGCCCCAGGAAAACACTTGTCAAAGTCACCACGCTGACAATTCAGTGCATGTTGCAGGGGCTGCGGTGGGCAACCCAGTAGCTAGGGGACAGCCACAGGAGACCTGGGTGGTTAACAAAGACAGAGGACACTGGTGGTGGTGGTGGTGTGTTGCTGTTGACACCAGCCTGTTTGTGTTCACTGTATTTTGTGTTTGCCACAAAAGCAATACCCAATCCTGCAGCATTCAAAAAATCCAACACCACAACCTGTCAAGTTGCTTTTGAGGGATCCTGCACAAGCAAAAAAAGAGGCAAGGATACATTTGGATTTGTCCATGCACTTTGCCCTGCAGCCCATCGACATCTCCCATCTGCTCTGTGATGGCCCTTAATTGAAGAGTGCCCTTCGTCCTGCATTGCTCGATGTGCTCTTGTCCTTGGACACTGGACCTGTACTCCTAAGTTGTTTGACGGTTGCTGGTAAAAAAGGAATCTCAGCACAATAAACACTGTCCGCAGCAACTTGATCGTCTGGTGCAGGGAAGGCATTGCTGTGGCAGATGGGTGCCTTGGCTGACAGGCTTGACTCATCTACAGGACTTCTGGTGCCTGTGGACAGCATGGCGCCTGCACTGAAGCACACCAACAGGAACGAAGATGGTAAAGCCAAAGGCATTGGCCATGCTGATGAGGCCAACCTCACCAACAGCGATGTGAAAAGCAAAACGATGAAAACAAGACCCAGCAGGCTGCATGAGGAGATTGTGGCATTTGCTGCACAGCTCACACCAACTGCTGCGGAACATGAACGATGTGATGGGATAATCGAACTGGTCAGGAAAACATGCTACGAGATATTTGGGACAAGAGCACAGGTAGATCGCTGCAGTTGATTTCTTGTTTCTGCATGTCTGCAGTAATTGTAGGTAACATGCACTTAATTGCCTTGGCCGAATTGTGTCTTGATCGGGCTACAATTGTTTCAGTGCAAACTGCTGCATTGAAGTTGGGGACATGTTTAGAGCAGCAGATTACAACCATCGTTCAGGCCATTTCTGGACTGATATTTGTCAGTTTGTTGATAATCACATTGGAAGATGCCATTTCTACCGTGTGTGCCGTGTGCTGGACGAGCCATTGATACTGTTTTCAATGCCTTTTCTTGCCCAGGTGGAGCCATTTGGGAGCTTCGTGAACGGCCTGGCAACATCATCCTCCGATGTTGATTTGGTGATCTGTGGTCTTCTCAACCCAGACTCGCCTGGGGTGTTCTTTGGAAATAAACAACTGCTTGCTGGTCAGCACCTGCGCAAGCTGAAGGACAAACTGCAAGAGTGCCCCAAGCTCCACATCGTGGATACTCAACTCATTCAGCATGCGAAGATTCCACTGCTGAAGGTGAGGCACAAACAGCTGATGTTATGCAGCGAACTACAATTCCTCAGAGGTTTGCATTGAGCATCTGATGCATGTTTGCATCAAAACCTTTTGTCAGATGTTCGCTTTGGTGTTCCTGCCTTGGCCGGCAGTGGACCCGATGGGTGTTTGACACCCCTGTCTCGACTCAGTATGAGAACGACAAGCCGGAAGCAGCTAATGGTGGCTAATTGCTGTGGTTCATGGATACAGTTCACAACAGAAGATGGGGTGATGGTGGATCTCTCCATCAATGACGACTCGGGCCCTAAGGCTGCCAGGTGTGCACTGGGACAAGAGACGCCAGCCTACTAGTCCCATGGAGTCTCTGCATCTGAATAGACTGTGGGCTGTGTTGTGGCACAAAATGGTGGCTGTGCATTGTGCACCTGTGAATATGTGCCACCGTGTGCACAGAGTGCTCCCAGAATGTGCCAGTACCCGACAGCCTCAGCCATCAGGCCACAAGCCTCTAAACTCTTCAAATAGCTTGCATGCACCATGGCCTCAAATTGACTGCATTGCTCATGTTGCTGCATATCAGCACACAGAGGTTGGGGTGGGTTGAAGGTAGAGCTTAGAACTGTGATCTCCTCATCCACACAGTGTAGTTATTTGTTTCATTGCCTGGGTGCGAAACACCAGTCATTGGGTCCTTATGCAATTGGCAACTCAAAAAGCCAGAAGTACCATCCACTGGGATTTTCTTCCTGAACAAAGTACTGTTGGATTCTTCGCGATTATGATTCATGTTGTTCTGCAAGCAGACCGATATCGATCAGATAGGCCAAGAAAAAATTGCGTGATAGAGCAAATTTCTGTGGTCTATAATGGTTGGCAGTTCTTTGGGAGGGAAGCTGTGGCTGCACAGGTACATTCTGGAGAAGGTCAGGCAGTACCCTCCGCTTCGGCCTCTGGCACTTGTGCTGAAGGCCTTCCTTAAGGCATACCACCTTGCAGATGTGAAGGATGGTGGCCTTGGGGGTTTTGCTCAGGCCAACCTACTTGTTGCTCATATTCAAGAGACAATGAAAGCTGGGCAGGTCAGTTGGAGTCTGTTGGAGTGCCAATGCTGGAGTGTTGGCCGTTATTGGATGCATGGGATGCAACTGGCAAGCCACATTCCATGCTTACGTTTTGTTTGGCTCCCCTTATCTGTACACTTGCTTGCTGCCATGGATCTGCTCTTTGGCTTTGCCCAAGTGCAGGGATGAGCTCGTTTGCATGTCCACTGAAACTCAAATTGCTGTCTGCAGCCGACCAGCGATTTCGGGGAGCTACTGGTGACCTTCTTTGACCGCTATGCCAACCTTTTCAACCCGGCGCTCCAGGCTGTGTCAGTTCGCATGGGTGGCATCGTCGCCCGGTACTGGGTAGAGAACAGGATGCACTATAGTGCAGGTCGACGGGGTGGGCCCCGGCATGGCAAGACGATTCGCACTGTTGGCAACACCTTCAGCCCAATGCTGGGTGAGCTGTGGGTGGTGGAGAACCCTATTACTGCCCTTGACGTGGCCCAAGGATCATTTAACATCTACATCGTGAGGGAGCTCTTTGGCTGGGCATGCTGGGCATTGAAGGCTGTGATGCCTGGGCGTGGTGGGCAGAAGGGTTCCCCAGGAGTCAGTCCTCTTGGGCTGCTGTTCAACAGGGTGGTTGTTGAGTAATACCCAGTTGTGTCTAAGAAATGGCCAATGGCTAGGCAAGGGTGCTGGGATAGCGAGTCGATGGCTCACTGCACTGACGGCTTTTGATGTACAATAGTACTAGAGAAGCAGTAGTAATAGCAGTAGTAGTATTGGGTGTGGAAGGATTTGTGGGCTCAGCGATGGGCAGTTGTTGAGCATGGTGGGAGGGTGGCTGCCTGAATGTCACCTTCACCCACATGATCACTGTGTGCTTAGAATGATGGATGCCTACCAGGTACCCACCTGCGTAGGTGATGAGGCCTGGTTGTTCACCACTTATTTGTGTAGATGGAGAAGAAAGAGACTGTGGGTTCAAGGTTGAGCATATGGCGCCAAGCTCAAGTCATGAAAAAGCTGGTGCACAACAGAAAAAAAAGGATACAATAAGTTGCAATGCTGTGGACGGAATACTGGAGGGCCTCAGAGCATGTTCAACACAGCTGAAAAGGATTTGGGGAAGGCCTGGGTATCCGAGGGCTTGCTCGTTGCTTGTGCACCACTTTCGAAGTTTGTGGCTGAATGGGATCTAGAGTCCGCTGTTTTTGCGAGGAGTAGAGGCGGGTTTGCCCCTGAGGGGTCCTGCCTGGATGTCAATAACGAGGGGGGAAGGGGGTGGGGTGGGGTGGGGGGGTGGGGAGGGGCAAGAACATGGCTGGCGTGGATGTTAATAATGGTGGTCTTGTATTCATGGTCACTGCCCGTCAGGTGTTGATTCATGGGGTCGCAGGAACTAGGTTGTCCAGGGGGCGACGAGGGGGAGCTGATGCAGCGAGCAATGGATGCCCCTGCCAGCCCTATATTCCTAGGTTTGTAGCAGCATATCATCTTTCGACATTCTCAGGTGCTTCTGGAGGTGGCACTCTCTGCTCAACAATGACACGTTTTTCTGCGATTGTTGGGTACTCTGCCCTCTGCCAGGATGTCTGCAACTCTGCCTGTTACTGGTACAGAAGTTGCTGTTACGTGGAGAATCTTCCCTTGACTTCCATGTGGATCACAGTTGTGTCGGTGCTGGCCATGGGCGATTGGGTTTGAGCTCCGATGTGCCATTTGTTGTAGCCTTATGTGGCGATCTGTGAGACAGCTGGTTTGTGATGGGGCCTTTCTTCGTCATCCTAAGATGCCACAGTTGCCCAGATTGGATGTGGCTTGATGGGCGATTTACACATGAAGACTGGGGCACTCCATTCACTTGTCGTGTTGATTTCGTTTGTTCATCGTCATTCTCTTGGTTTGCTCCTTTGGCCAGTCCTGTATGCTGGACTGGTTGACGCTTGTCTTGCAAAGTGAGGGCCATTTGTAACACGGATTTTTTAAGCACTGATCCTCAGTACGATCTCTGGCCGGCAACCACTGTCAGTGACTCAAGGTGCAAGACACTGATCCGCTCCATTCTCTTCGCCAAGCACAGGGCACAAACTGCCCTTCACCAACAGGATTTTGCGGTGAGGTGCTTCCCCCTCTTGCATAGGAATATCAAATCAAGACCTGCGCCTTTATGCCATTGAATCCAAGGCAAGGAAAGTGGGATGGTGAGAGGTGTTGTCTCCCCAAAGCCCGGGTTTGCTGCCATTTTCCAATTGTGAGGCAGGTTTTAACAATGGAGCAAAGGATTGTTCCATTTGGGGAATTTGCACAATGGGCATTTGAAGACCACGAACCCAGAGGACGCCTCCGCGCCTCACCACACGCCACGGCCATCGACGCAGTTCCTCACGCCTCCGTCGTCTGGCGGTCGTGACGGCTCCCCGCTGCCAATTGCCTCCTTTGCGAATTCGGCCATGGTGCCCACGGGCGTCGTGCCCCGACCCGTCGGCCGGCCCGCTGGCGCACCCCACTCCCGCCGGCCTTTGCGACCTGAGGCCACTCTGTCGCCGCTCGATGCCAAGCCCGCCAACCCCAAGGCCCTCCCGGGTGGTCAAGGCGCGGCACAGCCAAGGCGCCGCGTCCCTGCTGGATCTCACGAACCGGCAGCCATCCTGGTGGTCAAGCCAGGGACTGGGCATCTCGGCAGCGCGACGCCCGGCGGGGCCGTCCAGGGAGGGCCATCCGCCGCTTCCCTTGTGGCGATTGACCGCGCACTGGGAAGTGGAAACGCAGCCCTGTGCTGGGAGATCGTTCAGAGGTGCCTCCCGCTCGTGTTCACGTGCTTGGTGTCTGGATGGTGGAATGACTGAATTCGCACGGCGTCCGCCTTGTGATTTCGAATTGGAACTGATTTCGAATCGATTTCGCACAGGCTTTTGTGCGCATTGTCTGAGCCAAAGCTTGTATGGAATCCGGCAGGCATGGAATCCGGCAGCACGTTCGTTTTAGAGTGCGAAGACTGTTTGCTTGGCAATGCACCATCTGGCAGCAGAGCATTAAGGGTGGCATTGCTCACTGTCGAGCAGCAAAATGGCCAGAACTTTTACTTGGGCAAGTGTTGCATGCGACCAGAACATCACCTGCTGGTAGAAAATCGTGTTGTGCACTTGCGAGTCTCTGCAGTTTTGCTATGTCTCACCATAACTCTGCTGCCTGGTTCTGCATTTCCTGCATGTCTTTTTGGAAAGCATGAAATTCGTGACTGTTCTATCATGTTTCTGGCTATATTGCTGACGATGTTAATAACTTGGGGAAAGGCACAGTTGATAATGGGCCAATATCATACATTGTGACCAACTCGCAGATCACATTGGCCAGTCTCCGGCATTCTGCAATCCAAGACCACAACACAGCATCCATGCCATAGGCAGAGGGACAGGCATAGGGCAGTCATGCAATCTTGCTTGGTTTGAGCTTGGCTCCAGAACGATGCTGCATAGAGCAGTGCAAGAGCAAGTTGTATGGGCACAGTACACAGGAGTACATTGGGTTGACTGTGCAGGAAATGCCCCTGGATTCACGATTTTCACCTGTCAGTAGGCGTCGAAAGTCAATTAGACTTCTTGCATGGCTGAAACCTACAGCAGATATCAGCAGCACCCTCGTTCCCAAGTGTGCACATGTGCTGAAGCTGGTGGAAGAGTGACAGGGCATTGCGAGCTCCCATAATCCCCAGGCTTACTCTTGCAACGTGATGTGTGTTGTTCAGGTTGAACTCAATGGTACAAGCTGCTGATGGATCGAATCCAGCCAAGGAGACTGCTGACGCCCCTCAAGCATCAGACTGTGCTTTGAGATCCCGCTCACAACTGGTGACGTCAGATCCAGGCCCAGGGCCTTCCAGCCTGGGAAATGTGATTGAAGGGTATGACTGGGACATCGACATCTTGGGTGGGAAGGAGGATGGGAAGGACAGGAGCACTGACTGGGTACAAGGAGGGGAGAAAATGGGGAGTCAACTTGCACAACAGCCAGCCAGAGCATATGGGCACTTGGGCAGAGCACATGGGCAGAGTGCCGCAGAGCCAGTTGTGGACGGTGTATGTGCACCTGACGTTGGTATTGACGACGGTCAGCGATCTGTGGCAGACTTATTGGGCCGTCGTCACAGGAGGCTGCTGCGGCTATTTCTGCATTCACAGTGCCGTGACATCGCAATAGAGTACACAAAGCTTCTCCTGCCATGTGGCAAGGTCTTCACGGCAGCCCTACGGGAGCTACTGCAGTTTGGAGATGCCGATGCAGTCCTGAGTGTGCTGAACTCCTGTGAGGAGGATGGTGCTGCATTGGACCAGTATGCGTTCAGCACAAAGTTGTCAGCACTGGGCCGGTTGGGACTGTTGGATGATGCAAGGCAAGCATTCAACAGAGATCTTGAAGTCAGATCGAGTCTGTATATCTTCAACTCGATGATGGATGCATACGCAAGGGTAGGAGACAATGAGAGTTTGCAAGAGCTGAAGTGTTTGATGAGTGACAGGGGAATCTCTCCCGATGCCATCACCTATACCTCCTTGATCCGATCCATGGGCATGGTAGGCAAGATGGAAGATGTGAAGTTGTTGGTGCAGGAAATGCTGGCAGCTGGTCTACGACCCACCCCACACACCTTCACAGTAGTGTTCAAAGCTGCCGAAAGGAATCGGAATGCAGACGCAGACTGGTTGATGGCACTGCCTGATATAATGGCCGATCATGGTATCCAAATGAACCAGCAGATACTGGGGGCGATGATCGCTGCCTGTTCATGGGCCGACCTTGGCCCTGACCAGATCCAGACGATTTTTGATTGGGTGGAAGACCTGAGGCAGCGATCCAGGTGTGGCGACATGGTGTACAATAGCCTTCTGCTACTGTGTGCAAGGAGAGGCCTGAGTGAGAGGGTGATGGACGTGTGGGACGCGCTGCACGATGACAGGGTCCACCCAAATGGGCACCTCTTCTCAGCTGCCCTCTCAGCATGCATCTCTGGGCAGGCAGTGCCCTCGCTGATGAACTTTGCTGCCCGAGTGGCGCAAGAGCTGATGTGAGTGTAGTTGCACTTTTGGACAAATGCCAAGGTCAATATTCCTTGTCATTCTCACAATCTGCAGCCTGTCCGTCAGATTCAATGTTGTTGCATTGCTGTGATGGTTTGTAAGATAAAGGGTGGATTGTAAGTGGGGGTTGCGGCTTCTTTGTCCCATTGTGGCTTTTTTGTTGCTGCACAAGTCTTGTTTGGCTCAATGCTCAGTTTGCTCTCAAAGCACGCGAGTCACCTGCACAGAAGGGAGGGGGGGGGCGCACAAATGAGCTCTTGTTAGTGGCCCAATGATCAGTTTGTTGGCTGAGCTTAGCACTTGAGAATATGGCAAGGCTGTACATCGCCTGAAGAATTATTTTGATGATAACAATGGTAGAGCTATGCGGTGCCCCATGCTTCTGTCTCTGCAGGCTGTCTGGCATGAGGGATCAGTGAGGCTGGTTGTATTCCAAATGCATGCTTCAGGTATACCTCATTCAACAAACCTTACATTTTCTTGGGTGTGCTGTAGGCATGAATGGCGCACTGTCAAGAGCCGCACGTCAACCAAATCCCGTGAGACTGCTTCTTTCCTTGGAGCATTCAACTCACTCATCAATGTGCACGTGTGGCTTGGCAACCTCGATGAAGCACTGGATTTGTATAATCGTATGCGTCACCAAGGCCCCATGCCTGATGAGATCACCTACAATACATTGATGTCCGCATTCGCAAACACTGGGAGGGTGAAGCGGTCCATGGAGCTGCTTGTAGACATGCAGGAGGATGGTCTCAAGCCAACTGTGAGAACATATGGAACTCTGCTGAATGCCTGCGCCAAAGCACTGGAGGTGGGTAGATCGACTTACTGAAGTTGCGCTTCAGTTGTGTTGTGTGCACCCTTTGAACGTGGCTGTATGGAAATTGCCTGTCCAGCCGCTCTTGCCTTGCTTGTCGACCCATCAGATAGAGTTTCAGCCCAGTTTCATGCTGAACATATTGTTGTCCTGGAGTCGTTTGTGGCAAGATAAATTGCTGAATGTGGGATGGTTGCTAACTGCCAAGGAGTGAAAGGTGCTTGATGCTAATGCATAATTGGCATTCGTTACAAGCTGCTCCACTGGATTAGTGGTCTGTGTGTGCTGCACCCTGGTCACAAAACTAATGCACTGCCCGACTGTCTTACAGCAATCAGCAGCAAGCTTGCAATGTCAACACTAAGTCGTGTTTTGGTGTCCAATCATCCGCACACAGTGCTCCCCAGCCCACCCATGTAGGCTGCTTTGGTGGCATCACTTGGTTTAGCCCCCATTGTGTTTGTTGCATGCTCCCCTCAACTCGAAAGACAAGGACCAAAGAAGAAGGATTGAATGCCAGCATTTCTAGCAAATATGGAATGCAGGCAGCGGCCGTGTGGAGCCTCGTGGGTCCATTGCTATCTGCTTAGCACTTTGTGTGGTCCCTGCTGGCCAGGTTGGCCGCGCACAGAAACTGTTCAAGCACATGCAGGCAGCTGGCGTGCCGCCATCTGTGGAGTGTTACACGTCCCTGATCGATGCATGTGTGAAGGAGGGCTCCCCAGCCAGCCTGGAAACAGCCTTTGTTGAATTTGGCGCCATGAAAGCTGCCGGCCTACGGCCCACAGCTGTGACCTATGGATGCCTTTTGGTGGGATGTGAGAAGATGAGAGATACAGATCATGCATTCTTGCTGTACCGGGAGGCAAGTGATGCGGGTGTTCTGCCAACAGATGAGTTCCACAATACACTGGTAAACATGTGCACCCGGGCTGATCGCCTTGACGAGGCGCTGGAGCTGGTGAAGAGCTTGGCTCGCAACCATGGTGCCATCGAGCTCCACACACTCAACTCTCTGGTCCGCGCACTGTGCGACAACTTCACAGAACGCGCTGTGGCAGTACTGCGTCTGATGCGAAACCGTGAGATGCTGCCTTCTCGGGATACGTACCTGTCACTGGTGACAGCATGTGCCAGGGACGGCAACTGGGGCCTAGCCATTCAGCTGTGGCGAGAGATGCAGACGAGGGGAATGGAGGTGGACAGGGTCGCAGGGTCGATGCTGGTGATGAGCTTGTGCCGGGCAGGCGAGCTGGCAACGGCGTTGCAGGTGGGTAGGTGGATCGGTGGCACTATGTGCCCAAGCTGGGCGTTGAGACCTCGGGCTCAAGGTGGCATCAGAACCCCTGGCCCAATGCTGGGAATGATGGACTTGAGCTCAGGGTCATCACAGAAAATTTTGCCAACACAAGGTCACAGCACACACTGCCTTTGTCATATGTCACCCACTGTCATACCCAAGGCATAATATCGCATCATAGCGTTTGAGGTTATGTGATCTTTTTTCCAAACACTGAACGTGATGTGGATGGACTCCCTGTGAGACAGAGGGAAAGCATGGCCTGTTGTTTATGAAAACGCAGATTTGAAGCAAGGCCAGCATGGGTCAGGTGCGCCATCTTCAGGTTTCCATTGAGGCATTTGGGCAAGGTGGCATATGACCCCTTGGCTGCAGTTGTGCACAAAGAAAATCGCCAATTGTGGCTGATTGCAGCATCTGGCAAATGGGGCTTCTGCTGTATGGCGCATTCTTGTAGGAGCCATTGACGATAACGACATTGCGTCTTGTCTGTGTTCCCAATCACACTGTGAGTGGCCGCAGCCAGTTGATGAATAATGGTTTCTGCAGCACCTGGAAAGTTTGTCAGTGGAACTTGGGCCTAATGAACTAACTTGTTTCACATTCCCTCAGGTGGCGGACGACATGCTGACAGCATCCGCCATGCCTAGCCTACGTAAGGGCATGGACGTGGAGCATTTGGGGGACGTAGAGCCGGACCGAGTCGTCCACAGGCACGCCTGTCTGCCTGATGCACTTGCCCTTGGCTCCTTGGCACATGCACTGGCTCAAAATAGTGAACCGATGGCTGCACTAAGAGCCTTCAATCAGATTCGGAGGCAAGAGGGTGACGCAGGCCTCTGCACCCTAGTGTCAAGATCGAGGCACGTTTTCGAATCGCTGATCGAGGCTTGCTGTCGCAAGGGTCTCACAGAGTCTGCTCTGGAGGTGTTTGACGAATGGAAGGCTGCGGCTGCGATGGTGATGGCCCAGAACAGGGTGCAGGGCGGGGAAGAGTGGGCGTACAAGAGGTGCACTCGCTGGGGAATTATGGCCCTGTTGGTGCCCTTGATACAGCTGGTGCCAGTGACGACCAGACCAATCTCTCCCAGCCCTTATTGGGGCTTCATTGCACCAGTTTGTGGTGGATACACAACTTTGCAATATGTGGCGATTGGGTCCAGAGAGCACATTTTGTGTGCTGTTGTTGCTGTTAGCATTTTGTACAAAAACAGTGGCTGAAAACTTGTACAGTTGATCATAAAGCTTGCCAATACTGCCGCTTGTTGTGTATCCCCAGCACCTGCCAGCTGCGTGTACTTGGGGCCATGTATCTGACTCAGCATGGCTGTGTTCAACGACAGGTATCCTACCATCTCCCAGGCAACCCTCGCATTTTTGGAGTCCAGATGTCGACGGGAGCCTGAGCTGGAGTGGCGCGTGTACGATGTGTGTGCGACCATGAGACAGCAGAGGGAATGGGCCCATGAGGCAGAACTCCCGCGCCCACAGGCTCCAAGTCATCACTTTGGTGAAGGCAGTGTGGAGCAGACTCGTTTGTCTAGCGAAAATGAGGATTTCAGATATTAGGACTTGAACTAACGCGCTTTGAGGGTGTCCCTTTAGAGATTCGCTGACAAATGTTGGCATTGTGAGCGTGTCTTGTCAGCACAGACTTCCAGAAGAGGATGAGGAGATTTGAATTCTGTGTTGTGGGTACGCATTTTTGGAAAGATAGGTTGAGTTTAAAGCAGTCAGCAACGTGGGTTTCATGGCCGGAAGAGATCAATGTGCCCGTTGAAGATCACAAGGTGCAAAACACCTACCACAGTATACACTTCGGTGACCCGAGCAATGCCTTTGTATGAAAGGCTGGGCTGTGCGTGCAGCCCAATGCGCCCAATGCATCTGAAGCTTGGTGTAGGTGTAGATGTTGAATGCAACCACCAACCCATGGAGGGCGGAAAGGGGGAAAGAGCAAATGGTTGTGTTCAGGAGGCTGACGTGTGTCAATGTGGACCATCCTCATCAGCCCTGGTTGCCGCGCGGCGTCGCACTTTTGGTGGGTACACGCCCGGCCGCGCAATCTCCCGCTTTGTGCCCACCAGCCTCCCGCTGCGATTGGCTGTTCGGCTGGGAATCCGCAGGCGGACGTATCTCAACTCAGCGTGGCCCCGCCTGGGGGATCGGATGCGCACTTTGGGGGGCATGATTCCTGCGCCACACACAAAGAAAGGCCTCCCAACCGGGCCCGTCGCCTTGCGACCACGGCGTCCAGCCGCCTCAGCATTCCACCTGCGAACGGCACGAAGCCTTGACCGGACCGCGTTTCGTCTTTGCTGCTCCCCGCTGTATCACGGGGCGCTTTCGTCAAACATGGCGTGGGGGCCCTTTCGTCGGGAGTCCATGGATGCCGGACAGGGCCCTGCCCGAGTTCCGCTGGATCGGCTAACAAGGCTGCCAAAGGTGCGGGCGTTGTTGACCAGGCTGGATCAGCTTCCAAGAGTAAAGGAAGACGACGGGGCGGGTCAGCAGCGCCGGTTGACTGGCCGCGAGGTGGAGGAGAACGCCCTCCAAAAGTGCTGGAGGCGCCACGAGGCAGTGGGCGTTCCCACGCGTCCGGCGCCGGCCGACGCACTGAGATCCGCGTCCCTGCAGAGCTCCTATGATCGCTGCGCCAGGGTGACTGCTGAGTACGCCAAGACTTTCTACCTGGGGACCTCTCTGATGACCCCTGAGAAAGCGCGGGCCACGTGGGCGATCTACGTATGGTGCAGGCGCACGGACGAGCTGGTCGACGGGCCCAACGCGCCGAGAATCACGCCCCAGGCGTTGGACAGGTGGGAGGAGCGGCTGGAGGCGCTGTTCGAGGGTCGCCCCGTGGATATGTTGGACGCCGCGCTCACTGACACTATCGACCGATTTCCGATCGACATCCAACCGTTTCGGGACATGATCGGTGGCATGCGGATGGATCTGGTGAAGAGTCGGTACCAGACGTTCGACGAGCTGTATGAGTACTGTTACCGGGTGGCGGGTGCGGTGGGGCTGATGACGGCGCCGGTCATGGGCATTGACCCAAAGTACGGCGGGCCCTTAGAGCCTGTGTATCGAGCGTCACTGGCCCTCGGGACGGCCAACCAGCTCACCAATATCCTGCGCGATGTGGGCGAGGACTCTCTGCAGCGCAACCGCATTTATGTGCCCACTGAGGAGCTGGACCAATTCGGCATCCCCGAGCAGGAGCTCCTGCGCGGCGGTCTGTTCGCCTCGACCAACGGCCGGGTGGACGACCGATGGCGGGCGTTCATGAAGTTTCAAATCAAACGCGCCCGTGAATTCTTTTTGACGGCGGAGGAGGGCGTGCACGCGCTGGACGCGGACGCGCGCTGGCCCGTGTGGTCCGCCCTCAACCTGTATCGCCAGATCCTGGACGCTATTGAGGAGAACGACTACAACAACTTCACCCAAAGGGCTTATGTCACTCGGTGGAAGAAGCTGCTGGCGCTGCCCGTGTCATACGGCCAGGCCAAGTTCCCGAAGAAGGCGCCCTTCGGGCACGCGCCCCCCAGGCCTCGCTATCAGGAAGGGTAGGAGAGGGTTGGAGCCAAACGAAAAAGGACGTTGCGAAACACTGATAAAAGGGATGGCCACTTCGAGGCCTTGCTACTTGCAATGCTATGCCCAAGCCTTATTTGTGGGGGTTAGATGTGAAGTGTTTTGAAGCGGGATTCTTTTTTGCCTTCGATCATTCATGATTGTTGGAAGAGGGTGGCAGATGGACTTTGACGGCCATCAACAAAGGGCGAAATGGCAATGGCGGATCATAACTGCGTCCTGGTAAATTTAATCACATTGGACGCTGGTGACTTACAATTCTGTTGCCATCGGGGTCTGGGCTTCAAGCGCTGCAGTCGTTGGACAGCACCCTCTGCTCACCTGTACCAAACGAAATTTTCATCAGGGAAGACGCGACGCACACTTGGGAGGCAGAAATACAACTTCCAAGTTGACTGACCTCGTGATCTCCATCCCATGTCCTCGAATGCGGCAGTTGCTGATGTTGTTGCGTGGCGGGTCGGCGATCTGCTCTAGGAGAATTCTCAGGGACTTCTAGGCCGTGCTCCTCGGGCACGCACAGCTGTAGAGCCCATAGTTGCAAACCGTCCTACAGAATTGCCACTGCACCCAGGCTGGCGTGTTCGACTCAAGCTGTCGATTTCCTCACTTCGAGGGAAATGCACTCTGCCAGACGAGGAAAGGACGACTCGCCAGCTGCACTCTCTCCTGCAGAATGGAACTCATATGGGAAAATCCTGGACCTGGCCGATCCCCAAGGTTCTCTCGTGCTTCTTCAATAATTCTTCTCGATGCGAAGAGCGTTCCAGACTCCCTTTCGGCGACGTGCATGGTGATTGGCGCCCAACCAAACGGTGACCACCGTCCATCGCGCCCAGACTGTGCCGTTTCCCGGGTAGCTTCGCCACATCCCAATTTGATTGGTGTCGTGACCTGGTTGGTGCCGCGTTATGCGGTGGCAACTTGGTGTGATGGTGTTGAGCCAGTGTTAGCCAGCGATGGATCCATTTCCCCACCATGTCTGTCCACCAGGCAGCATTCTGCTTCACACCAGCGCAGAGCCAGACCTGACCTTCGCAGTTACTCCCTGGCCAAGGCGTGCCGAGAGCACCCGACGGCGCCAGCGGGGCCCTCTTTTTGCAAGGCGGGCCCAACCAAGTGGGTCGGGCATATCGTCGCCAGCAGGTGCGTCCCTGCCAACTTGGCTACGATGTCTGGGAAGGGAGACTCTATAGGCCTGTGGGAGCGGGCGGGCTGTTGTGGTTCCACCCCTCTCACAGCGATCTGCGGTTGTAATCGCAAACAACAGCGCTGCACGTCGCGCACGATGTCGCTTGTTCTGCCCAGATGGAATCAACGCGAGCTGGTTGGGTGTGGGGAAGGGCCATGGGAAAACCTGCTGAGGAATATGGGTTGTGCAGCTGTGACTGGTGCGAGGGGTGTGTCAAGGAGCAGAGCAGTGACGCGAAACCCTCCTCACAGCTGAACAAGGTGACGTCCCGAGCCGACAGCGATCACCTGTGATGTCCTTTCCGCGGCTCATGCTGCCCAACCCTGGCATCTGGACATCGCCCGCTTTCGCATTCCTTGCATTTCCCCTTGGCAACTGGTTGGTCCGGCGTTTGAACTGGGCTTCTTGGCCTTTTGGCCCGCGGCAGTGGCTCACATGCCATAGGAGCCGTTCTGTTCTGGTATGGCCCAGCGTGCGGGGGAGACCGGCTTGTGTTAGAGTGAGGAAGCTCCTCTCTGTTGACAAGCCGTTGACAGTCGCCCCAGAATGTGTCTTGACCCTGCACGCTGACACTCTTGCGATGCAGGCGGCACCGGCCCCGGCCCCAACGTGGCGCCAAGAGTTGAGCAACCAACCGAAAGATGGTGGGTGCAGGATGACGCATCATCGTGTCATGTGCGCTCGTTGGCGCTGCGCGCCACCACTAGCGCACTCTTCGAGAGCCGTACTGCCACCACATTGGCTGATTAAGAGACTCGGATTAGCAATCGCACGGACTACCCACTTTGGCCCAAGACGAATCGTTGGGTGTTATCCTGGGAACTGCTGTCTGATTGTTGGAATGCTACCTTAATGTACTGACTGCTGAAATGTTTAATGGCCTTTGTTCATTCGAAGTTTGCAGGGTTGTTTAGCACAAAAGCCTCTGGCTTTTGCATCAACTTCCCATTCTATCTGTTGAAGAGACACGTACATTTTCGGCTTGGCCTTAAGCACAAGAACAATGGTGAACTTCATCACACAGAGCAGCAAGCTGTTGTGCCAGTTTGTAACACGATTTATCCAGCATCACACCTTGTTCTTTTTGCCTCAGTTTCTCTGATTGCACACAGTTTAAGCTGCGACCATCTAGAGCGTTTCGATATGTTGTGGTTGCTCACGTCGTGTCCTTGCAATGTACCTGTAGAATGCGTTCCCCAAAACCAGATGCATGGCATGTGACACAGTCGCAAAGTTTGGGGCTCCATTTTTATCATATTTCCATGCTTAGTGCAAGGAGCAATGGCTCACACAAGCAATACAGATGTTACTGGTGAAGCCATCCATGATGTTGTTCATTTTGCAGATGCAGATTCACCAAAATTTTGCTGTGCAGGATGCCCCAGACGTTCAAAGTTCTGTCGTGGCCAAGTCTGTTCCCCGTACACAGGATGCTACTGTTGTCAGCATTGCTTCTGCTGGTCTAGCTGCTGCTGTTGCTCGAGATTCTCCTGCTGCCATAAGACAGGATCAAAAGGTTGGTCGTCTTGGCGGCTTGCTGCATATCAACGCCATGCATCCATCCCTTCATCCTTGCAGTCACAGGTTCAGGAAGCTCTCAGTGTGCAGGGTGCCCCAATCGGGCAAAACATTGCCACTGCTCAGGCTGCTCCAACTACAAAGGATGCTTCTCCAGCCAACAATGTTCCTGCTTACCAAGATACTCTTCCTGCCTTGAGGCAAAGACCTGAACTTAATCAATTTTTTTGTGTGGCGATATTGTAATATAGACAATATAACTTGGCTTCTGCTGCGTATTTTTGCCAATGTTCTATTGTGACCATCTCGGTGTACTGGGCTCTTTTGGTTTGTTGGTCAGCAGTGTATGCCAGTTGTGGCTTCTGGCAATGGGGCAACTTACTCACCAAGAGTTGACCTTCGCAGCTCTGTGGTGCAGTTTAGCGGGAAATTTGGTGCCTCTTGTGTATCCACAGCCCTGACCAACAGCTGTGCTTGAACAATTGCGAGTGTGACTTCAAGTGCTAAACGGGCATTCTCACTTGGATGACAACCTATACAATGGGAAGTCTTCAAAAGAGTATGCTGTTTTCATTTTTGGAGGACAGTTGTGATTGTTGTGGTGTGGTAAGGTACTGTTGTGTGGCTGTGCGGTAAACATACCAGTGTCAACTGGACAGCTGCTGAAAATGGAGAACCACAGCTTGGTCTTTGTGTCTATCATAGGGCCTTGGTGGCTCTTTGGGCTTTTGCTTTGAATTCGTTTGGTTACTCTGCACAGAATACTAGCAGTACTTAGACTGAACAAACCATTCGTTTCCACCTTTGTCCTGAGCTGCAGATTTCAGCTGTTCCCACTGCCCAAGGAACCCCCACACAGCTCGATTCTGGGTGGCCAGAAGGTCTCACAAAAGACCCAAGAGTGCCACAGCCAGCATTGGGGAGCTCCAGAGGTGTGGATGATGGCACTGCGACCCCAGGGGACACATCTGCAGCCTCTAGTGGCCACCATGGTGCTCCGGCATCTCCAGCCACCCCTCCGCCGCTATCCACATGCACCATACAAGAAGCTAAAGCAAATGCTGGTGGGTTGTGCTCTTTTACCTCGAATGTTTGCCATATTTCTGGCTGGTATTTGTAAACACTGGCATATCTGTGACACAGCATTAATCACAATGAACAGCTCCAATCAGGAAGCCAGCTTTCCAAATGTGATTTGGGGGGGAACACTGCATGGATTGAGCCAGCACTGCCAATCTTGGAGCGCTAAAGCAGTTGCGATACTTTCATTGAGGCGCCGTTAATCATAACTTTCAAAGGAGAATTGAACATCCGTACTTACCTATGCAACACAAGCTTGCGTTGCCTGTGCTGGTGAGTGCTACAGGCCCAATGCATTGGCTTTGTGTCATCTCAAGTGGGTTTATCAGAAATGGCAACTCTGTGCAAGTCCATCTTCGTCACAGCAAGGTATCCCAGGGAATCTCCTGTGCTGAGATGCAGAATCATAAATAGAATTCTGATATTGCCAGGCAATTGAATAGACAATATGAATTACATATAGTGCAATTACCATGCAAATCAGCTGCTCAGCAAGTCAGACATTGTCTATAATTTGTTGCCATTTGCTGACCCGATGGACTTTTTTGTCAGCACCTGTGCCTGGCAAGTGTTTTCTGGATGAGGAGTCAGACGAATCATCAGACGAGGGTGATGCAGACGTGTTGGAGTTGAAGAGGAATTTGAAACTTTTGCTTGAGGGCATCTTGGAGGAGCGAAAGATCAAAAACGTGAGCAGCAAGCATGGGCTCTTGGGGTGCTGCCTGCTTTTCTCCTTTGGCAGAGGTTGGAAGATTGTCCAGGGTCCCTATGCTACCCATTGCCTTGTGACAACCTAAGAAAAGAGTTTACCAGGTTGACTGTGGTGCTAGTAGGAAACGATTGCTGCAGCTGTCTCTGCTGCTTATGCTTCTGGCTCTCAATGTTCTCTTGTTTTATATGAGAATCCGCCCCCCTATTTGGATGTGGTGGCATAGGGAGGGCTTCAGATGTGGTTCATGATTGAAACTAGCGCTCCCTTCTCCTCCTGACCAGGAGTAACTCAAACAAGCATCTGCCTTCTGTACCTTAATTCAACCAACAGTGAAGTTAGCGTGGAGGAAGAAAATGCACAGTGCAAACTTGGAGTGTAGTGGCAGTGCAGGATATATCCAACTTGCATCTGAACCGACTGCCACCAGAATCACAATATTGCAGGCTGTGCTCTGATGGCATAATGCTACGATTG